AGATCTTGGCATCTGCGGGCCTAGGGGGTCGGCGGTGCGGCGTAAGCTAGTGAAACATACGTCCAAGAATTCTCGCCGACACCACAGGCAGTGGAAGGCAAGAAACTGAAGCACGCGGGCATCATTGCAGACCCTCCGCACAAATCTCTCCGTCTTGCTCTGTCTGACCTGGCCAGTACCATCTTCTGAAGTAGCCTCACGGGACGAGAACTCGGAGAGGGTCGATCCCAGCCTTGGTTAAGTTTCGGCCGAACCTCTCCATGAATGACCCCCGAGCTGTGACCCACGCGTGGCTGGCGAACTCCCACTCGCGGAAGTCAGGCCCTGCTTGCGAGCACTGCATGGCCTGCTCATCGTCACCGAGCGCGAGAACCAGCTAAGCCCAAAAGGGAGAGGCGGTTAGGCTCTCCTCGCTCCCGCCATCTGTGTTCGCCAGCGGTGCTAGGTGCCCATCGGCGCCCCCAGGCTACTTTCTGGCGCTTGCCGAGGAGAAGTGCAAATCTCCCAGGCCAGAGAACGACCTCTGGCCCCTCCTCCTGCTCGGGCGCGGCCATATCTGCGAACGCACGGATCAATGTAATGCATCCGTGGACCTCTTGATCTTTGCCACATGAGGAACGAAATCCAAGTGAACAGGGCACGCCGAAGTTGAATTGAACCCCAATTTCGCGGGAACAGCCCCCCTCGGTGCATCAATCTTTGACCGGGGAGGGAAGACTGTTGGTTGGCGGGGGGGCAGGCGGTAAGCAGCAAACACGGGACGGGGGAGCTCGGCGTCGGTTCCAGACATCCTCCAATACAATCGGACCCAGGACTGAAGAACATCCCACAAGAACACGAGGCCATCCGCCGGCCAAAACAACCCAAACCATACGATCACTCGAGAATCTCATCCCCCAGGATGCCCCCAAAACATCCCACAAATTGTTTTTTTTTATATTTTTTTTGCGTCGGCGGCTAGGCAGAGTAACTGCGCTGGCGGAGAGCTAACTAAACGGGGGTGCCGTCGCAGCGAAGTGCGCCGCCACGCAGGAGAAGGGGACGGGGCAGAGGAAGCGGCCGAAGGAGGGGGCGGGAAGGGAGCGAGGCCTCTCAGGGGGAAGGGTCACGCCCTGAGCGCGTGGAACATCCCACAAACACGAAGAACAATAGGTTACCCTCCACGAGCCGACCTCGATCTTGTACCTCGGTCCGGCTGTCTGATTTTCCGTTCAATCCGCGACCCCCCAGCAGCTCCCGACTCCTGCCCCCGGGGGTAGCGCCTCGCCCCGTGGATCCCACGCCGGCGGCCCCGAGGCCCGAAAGACGGGCCCCAGAGGTCGAGATCGAGGGACGCGGCCCAGATCGAACAAATCTTATCGTCGCTGGCGGCCCGCTCAAGCCGCCGCGTTAGGCCGCTATGCAATCTCGCGTAGGGCCCGCTCTTGATCGTGGAAAAAACGCAGCGTGCCGCGCTCGCGTCCCGCGCAAGCTGCGGCGTAAGGCCGCTGTGCCATCTCGCGTGAGGCCCGCTTTTGAGAGCCGCTCGTGCGGTCGCCCAGCTCCCCCGAGCTGTTTCGGGGCCCCTGCCATCGAGGCGGGGCCCAGAGATCCGGGGTTCCCAATCCCAGCTCTCATTGGCCATGCCGCGGAGAACCCACGAGCTGGCCTGGCAGGGCCGCCCTGCCGCACCGCCCGAGCGGCAACGGCCAGGCCGCCCGGCGCAGCGAGAGAGGGTCGGGGGGGCGATCAGCACCGCCATCGGCTCGCGAGGCTCTGGCCGGAGATTCCGGACCCTCTGGCGCCAACCTGATCGGACAAGAACGCAGAGCGCCGCGTTTGTCCGTTAGGCTCGAACGTAAACCAACAAAAAGAAGTGGGCGACGACAAGGCGGCCGATGACGAGGATGACGGCGTGGATGACGGGGGGGGTAACCTCATGCCCGTGAGAATAAACACTAGGGGATAATAAAGTTCGGGTTTCAGGGAGAGATAATAAAAGTAGCCCAGCAGACCTCAGCATAATCTCGAAGTAAGAGATGATCAAGAGGAGACCAAGCCGAGCACGTTTTGAGACATCCTTGGCGTTTAGTTTTCATAGAAATATCCTCAACAATGGCTTATCTCTCATGAAAATTGTTTTTTGAAAGTGCTCGTGTAGGGTAGCTCATGTGCCTCAATTTCCATGGATAATCAACCCAAAGATAAAAAAGTTCAGGCGAGCGTGGGGACAGAGAGAAATATGAAAGAAGAAGAATACAGTAGAAGAATAATAAGAAAGAAGAAGAGGAGGAGAAAAAGAAGAGGACGAAGAAAGGAAAAATCCAAAGTTCCAAATCTATCAATTTTAATTTACAAGCGCTTTATGAAAATTGATTGTTTAAGTGCTCGTGTAGGGTAGCTCATGTGCTTCATTTTCCATGGATAATCAACCCCAGGGATAAAAAAAGTTCAGGCGAGCGTGAGGACAGATAGAAATATAAAAGAAGAAGAGGAAAGTATAATAATAATAATAATAAGAACATTGCTCGTTTCGTTTGAGTCTGCCTCCCAAAATTATTGGTTTCGCTTGACACATCCTGAGAAAGTGTGATCGCTTCGCTTGATGTTGCTATATCAACATCGCTTGATGTTGCTATCTCAACATAGCGTTTCGAGGTGATAATGAAGTTCGGCCTCAGCGCTCGCCGCCCAATTTGAATTTTGTATAGGGCGACGATAATGAACTCTAAACACTGAAGGGGGGGGGTCCCTTTATTATCATCGGCATGCGGTTAGCGAAGCTCTGGCCGGAGAGTCTGGACCTTCTGGCGCCAATCCGCCGGTGCCCGTGGTGCCGTACAGTCACCAGGCATTCGAATGCAACTGTCGACCTCTTGACTTGTGCCCTGGCAAATGTTGAGCTTGTCTGGACGAGGCGTACCGAAAGTAAACTGAAGCCCAACTCCACAAGAACGGCCCCTCGGTGCACCAGCTTTTGACGACAAGAGGGGGGGGAAGCCTGTGCTGGGTGCGGGCGGCAAGCAATAAAACGCAAACTAGAAAACTGACAAAAGAAAACGGAAACCGGAAAACGGAACCCGGAAACCGGAAAGCGAAAAACGGAAATTGGAAAACGGAAGCTGGAAAACGGAACTTCGCTTTTTGGCCCAAGCCGGGAACCGGAAAACGGAAAGCGGAAAACGGAAATTGGAAAGCGGAAACCGGAAACCAGAAAACGGAAACCGGAAAACGGAAAACGGACAACGGAATTTGGTTTTCTGCCAAAACCCGAAAACGGAAACCAAAAATCGGAAAACGGAAACCGGAAAACAGAAACCATGGAACGGAAACCGGAAAACGGAAACCGGAAAACGGAAAACGGATTTTCGTTTTCTGCCCAAACCGGAAAACGGAAAACGGAAACCGGAAACCGGAAAACGGAAAACAAAAACCGGAAACCGGAAAACGGAAAACGGAAACCCGAAAAAAGGAAACGGAAAACGCAACTTCGCTTTCTGCCCAGACCCGAAACCAGAAAACGGAAACCGGAAAACGGAAACCGGAAAACGGAAAACGGATTTTCGTTTTCTGCTCGAAGGTTCTGTTTTCCGTTTCCGTTCCGGTCCGGCGCGCCTGCTGACCGGAATCATCTGCGGTGGTGTTCTGACGCCGAGGGACCCGGCCCGAGTGGTTCCGCATCGGATCGGGCGTTTCGCCATGGGGAGGGAACGACAGGTGTGGAGGGGATCGAAGGTGGCAGGAAGAGGGCCCCGAAGGTGCACGAGGGGGCGGTCTGCATGAAGCGTCCCCATGACCTGTGGTCCTAAAGCTGGACGGTTCCAACAGCCACAAGAACGGAGCACGTGCCACCTTCGAACTGTAGCGTCGCGTCGAATGGCGCGCTGCGGCGTGATATGGTGCCAAGTGTTGCTTTGTAGGGTTTATGTAACTACTATCTGGGCCCGCCCCGTTCTCGACAGGATTCGCCGTGGGCACCGCCCTTCGGGCCGGGCGAAAGGGGGGGACAGGGAAAGGGGGGGTTACGAAATCTGCTGCATGCAGCTGGTTTCGGCCCCACCGAGGGGCCCATTCCTCGATACATGGGCGCCTCCCGGCGCCGGGAGGCGCCGGGAAGATCAGCTGCGTGAGCTGATTCTCAAACCCCCCCTTTGCTATCCCCCCCTTTCCAAGACAAGCCATTTCAGACCTCCCCCGTGGGAGAACCCTCCAAAACATCGTCCCCAGACCCCGCCAGGCCCTCCAAGATAGCCTGGAAGAGACCCCCCCCGAAATGAGACCCCCCTCCCTTTATTACGAAATCTGGAGTAACTACTATCTGGGCCCGCCCCATGCTCGACAGGATTCGCCGTGGGCACCGCCCTGCGGGCCGCAGCCCCGGCCCCGGCCGAAGGGGAACGAACAACCGCCTCAGCTGGCCGCGCCCGGCCGCGTTTTGCGGGCGGGCGCGCGCAGGGCGAAGACGCTGGGCTGCGAGGAGGAAGAGGAGGAGGAGGAGGAGGAGGAGGAGGAGGAGGAGGAGGAGGAGGAGGAGGAGGCGGAGGAGGAGGAGGAGGAGGAGGAGGAGGAGGAGGAGGAGGAGAGGAGGAGGAGGAGGAGGAGGAGGAGGAGGAGGAGGAGGAGGAGGAGGAGGGAGGAGGAGGAGGAGGAGGAGGAGGAGGAGGAGGAGGAGGAGGAGGAGGAGGAGGAGGAGGAGGAGGAGGAGGAGGAGGAGGAGGAGGAGGAGGAGGAGGAGGAGGAGGAGGAGGAGGGGAGGGGAGGAGGAGGAGGAGGAGGAGGAGGAGGAGGAGGAGAAGGAGGAGGAGGAGGAGGGCGAGGACGAGGACGGGGACGAGGACGAGGACGAAGAGGGAAACCACTGCTGCGCACAACGCGCGGCGAGAGCACACGGGGCGAGGACGCGGCCGCGGGGTGTGAGCCACCAGACCCCGCCGTTCGGCTCGCGCGCCCGCGCCAAACGCGGAGGAAGAGGAGGAGGAGGAGGAGGAGGAGGAGGAGGAGGAGGACGACGAGGGGCAAGAGGAAGAACGCAGCGGACAGACGCAGTGCACGAGAAGGATGGACCTCTCCTTTCGTCCCCCCCGCCTGTGACTGCTCCCCGATGAAGCAGCGCACGGTCGGACCTCGCCCCGACGTCGGTCGCAGCGGGGTGCGCCGCATCGGGGCGCGCGCCAGGGCCCACCGCGATGGTTTGGTGGGCGCGCGCCAGAGCCGCCCCGAGGGCGGCGGCGCGGCCGCTGCGGTTCCCCCTTGCCTCCCGCCCACCCCCTTCTCTCTCTGTCTCCGCCTTGCCGCAAGGAGGAAAGACTGGTCTACTCTGTAAGAACGGTTTTTTGAAGGCAGATCTGCCTTCAAAAAACCGTTCTTATAGAGTAGACCAGTCTTTCCTCCTTGCAGGTAGAGTGCGGCTCCTGCACGCCGGTAAAAAACAGTGCGCCGCACCGCGCCAGTTGGCTGGGCGGAAGCGGTGGTGGCTGTGGCCGCCGGCTCGCGCGGCCATGTCGCGCCAGCACCCCGCGCGGCTGCCCGGCGCCCCCGCGGCGGAGCTGGCAGGCGCGCGCTGCCTCGAAGTCGGGCCTGTCCCTCTACGGGGGGAAAGGTAAAAAACAGGCAAACAATAATATGGGGGCAATATGTTTTTTTTTTTACATTTGGGCATTTGTTGAGCATGTTGTGGGCATTTGTTACCTTCGTCCCAAGTCCGCCTGTAGGGGGGCACGGCCGACCTAACGCTGCCTGCTGGAGTGGCGTCGGGGCCTGGATCAGGGAAGGAACGGGGACCACCGCCACCGAGGACAGCGGCGGGGGCCGACCTCGGGCACCAAGGCTTTCTGGGAGGGCGTACGTCTATATGATTTTTGTTTGGGGGCTCGAATTGTTTCCCGTCCCATACGGAAGTCTCCAGAGGCCCAGTGATGTGTTCGGAGGTCCCTCGAGGCATCCGGAAGACGAAAGGCTGGATCCTCGCTTTCCCACCCTTGCGGGCTTCTCCGGAGCTCCTTTACGGCTGTTGGGTTTTCGTTGGATTGCGCCAGAGTGCCTGGTGGAGTCGAGCGGCCACACTTGCCCTGCCGTCTAGGGGTAAGTCGGGCACGTCCCTTTACAGGATGAATATTAAAAAATAGTCAACAAATAGTATGGGGACTATGTTTTGAGTATTGTTTGACCATTTGGGGGTATTTTTTTACTATTTTGTATTTTTCGTCGAAATCCCTCTGTAGGGGGACAGGCCCGACTTACGTCCAGGGGGACGGTTCGGCCAGTCGGGAAGGGGCGATCGTCGACGGCGTGCCGCTGCAGGAGGGCCCAGACCTCAAGCGAGCTGTTTTCGTTCAATCCCGGCGCTTGTCCCAAACAACGCGCTTTTATTCAAATTCTGGCACGTGCGTTCGCATGGCATATTCCCAACCTTTTTCCGCTTGTTCCGACAGCGCCGGACCGAAATAGCATGACAAGTGAGTCCCGATTTGCGTGAAGCCCAGGTCTCCTCCGGACCTCGCCGCACTCGCCCTCGTCCACTTGTCAGAGTCTGCCGAAACTGCCTCCAAGTTCGGCGTTCGGGGGTCGTGTTCTGACCCAGGGGCGCTTTCCCACAGCTCCAGGACGGAGAGCTGACCGCTGACCCCGAGAAGGGCTCGAGACATTTGAGGTCCGTAGGTGGTATGGGGGATCGGGAGCGGCCAAGAGGGGGGTGAGGACTAGGGGGGGGTGCGTATCGTGATTAAGTTCATGATGAACTTCGAAGCTGAACAACCAGAGCGTAGCCCTGCGAGCTTTGCGCAGCACTTACCTCGAGCCATAATACCTCCCCCCCCTCTTCGTCACCCCCCTCTCTGCCGCTCCCGAGGCGATGTGGGAGGATCGGTGGTCCTATTGTTTGGGCAGCGCTGGCCTCTGGGCTCCGGGAGGCTTCTCGTCGCAGCGGTCTGGTTTCGGGAGGGCCCCAGCGGGAACGAATCTCACGAGGACGAAGACCCGTTCTCTCCGGGCCGAACGGAAGGGGGGGACAGGGAAAGGGGGGTCACGAAATTTGCTGCACGCAGCTGGTTTCGGCCCCACCGAGGGGCCCAGTCCTCGATACATGGCCGCCTCCGGCGCCGGGAGGCGCTGGGAAAATCAGCTACGTGAGCTGATTCTCACCCCCCCCTCTGCTATCTATACCCCCTTTCGCCCAGCCCGATCTTTCTGAACAGGGCTCGCTGTCGGTGTCCCAGCGGTCGTTGGCAACTCGGGGTTAGCATCTCCCGCCCAACAGCGGCCGCTGGCGGCTCGGGGACGACATGTACTGACGGGCATCGTCCCAGTTTGTTCCGTCCTTGTTTCGGGCGTGCCAAGGACTCCCCTCGACATCTTGATCAAAATGTTCCCCAGGACAGGTCCAGGGCTCGATAATTGATGGAGGAGGATGACAGAAGGGGTTGTCAACTTCTACAACTCCTACATGACAGTTGAGATGTTCTCGGCAAAACGTTCCAGGCTGCACGGTGGCGGGTAGAGGTGAGAGAATATTTGATACCGTCTGTGCACACCGCGTCAGAAAACTACAACGGCTCCTTGCCAGGTGCGCTGGAAGTCGTGCAAGAAGTTGGTGACATCCTCTTCGTGCCGAGCGGATGGGGTCACGCGGTACTGAATCTAGGCAGCTACAACGTGTGCGTGGCTGTCGAGTTCGATGGATGACCAAGTCACGACATGTCGAGAGTGAAACACAGGTAACCAGGGCGAGCTACGAAGTTATGAGACACATGAACATCAGGCGGATGAAAAAAGGGATGCAACACGGGGGGCTGGAAGACACGGCGGATGCAGATCATGCCGATATGGAAGCGGAGGAGGGAGATCTTCATGATACGCACGAGGACGAGAGGCAATAAGAAGGAGGCATGAGGCATGAGGCAGGGAGGATGGAAGGGTGATAATGAGTATTAAGGGGAGCATAATGGTATAGGGACGAGGAGAGGTTGATGTCCAGCTCGGATCCAGCTATGATGTGAGTAGACGCGGTTGGTGGGGCAGGCATGAGCGGGAAGATGTAGTTGTAACGGTCTCAGTGAACGAGAACAGCTGGCGGTTGCAGGCGTGAGGCCGAGCCTCGTCCTCCACGCCCCGCATCGCTCCCGCGACAAGCGCCACCGCGGGCTGTCGTCCACTCGGAGGGCGCTGACGACCTCTGCACCCGGTCATGGCCTGGCAAGGCCTGGGTCCAGGGCCGGGATCTGCGACGAGGGGCTGTCTTCAAGCGGCTGCCTTTTTCCAGGTTTCCGGCCGCTGGGGGCCGGGCCTCTGGGCCCAGGGTCGTATTAAATGGGCCGGGGGCGAAACGCTGCCGCGCGGGGGAGAGGCGAAGGACTTCTGGGGCCGCGGGCTGGAGACAGCATGTCGGCGGATGTCAGAGGGGGTCGGTTATCGTACAGGCCAGTCGTGGATCCGGGGCTTCCCTTGGCCAGGATCGGTGTAGGTTTATGGTCAGGGCGACCCGATCCATGGGCACAGTGGGGGGACCCCCCTTCTGCGATCCATCGATCTTTGAGACGACCACGGGGGGGCGATGCTGCACAACGACTTCGGTCGACATTCTCGTTCTCGTTGGTTCCTCCTTCCCCCGTTCCCTCTTCGATCTCGCTTCTCCCCCTTCATCCCTCTCCCTTCCTTTCTCCCTCCCTCCCTCTTCTCCCTCGTCCTCTGGCGCTGCCCTTCTCCGCACACCACTTGGCACTGCCCACGCCATGTGATGTGCGGAGAAACAGGGCCCCCCGAACGGCTTCCGACGGCGTCAGACGGGCCAGGAGCTCACCAAGACGGCCGAAGATGGCTCGAAGTTGGCCCAAGATGGCCCGACAGGCCTCCGAGAGGGCCTCCAGGAAGGCCCGAAAAGGCCCAAATCATTGATTTCCCACGAGTTTTTGCAGGATTATGGCATTTGTTTGTTTCTTTATGTTTTGGCGATGTTTCGTGGGCCGTTTTCGTTTCGACTTCGTTCTGCGGAAGAGGTGGATTGAAGACAGAACGAGGGAACACGAAAACAAAACGAAAGCTGAAAACACCGTTTTAGGTTCAGTCTTGTGACCTCCCTCGCCTTCCTCGTTCTCCTCTCCCTCCGCTCCCTCGCCCTCCTCGTTCTCCGCTCCTCTTGTCGCCCTTGGCCCCCTCCCGCGTGCTCTCCCCTCCCCGCACCTTCGCCCCCCTCTTCTCTCCTCTCAGGAGGGAAAAATCACAGACACAATTGATCGTCGATTCCCCAGAAAATATGAGAAATATGGGAAGTGGGGGGGAGGACGAAAACCCAGAAAATATATGGAAATATGGGTAATCCTGTTATTAGTGTCTATTTTTTTTTTTTTTGTGTGTGTGTGTGTGTGTGTGTGTGTGTGTGTGTGTGTGTGTGTGTGTGTGTGTGTGTGTGTGTGTGTGTGTGTGTGTGTGTGTGTGTGTGTGTCCCAGGGCCCCTTCATCCTCCCCCGCCCCCTCCGTCCTCCCGGGGAGGCACTCCCCGCGCGCGCGCGCTCGCGCGGCATTGTCGCGAACGTCGCGGACGTCGTCGTCGCAGTGGACCTCGCCACGGGCCCGCAGCGGCGCGAAGATCACCGCGCCTCAGGCGCGCTCCGCGCGCCAGGAAGGGGTGTCCAGGGCCGATCCAAGACCTCCGCGCGGACCTTCGCGAGTTTGTGTTGATGCTTCAGCCTCCTGGGGTTCCTGGGGACCTTCAAGAAGCGATTCGTTGTGATCATTGGGTCGCCCGCGCAGGCGCGAAGATCATCGCTCTTCGCGCGTCGCAGTCTGTGCCAGAGCGGCTGCCCTTCTGCAAGGGGGCTACGCGGGGGCGCGAGGGCGCCAAATTCAGGTGGCCTAGGAGAAGCCAGTTCCGCAGAAAGCCCCGGGTCCATGACCCATGGCAAGAGATCGCGCGAAGAGATTCGCGTCTTCGTGCGACGCGGGGCCACAGCAGGGTCGCGCCGCGTCGACGCGGCGGCGACCCAAGCGCAGGCGTTCAAGGCTGAACGCCGCCTGTGGCCACGAAGTGGTCGATACCTCACGACCTGCGCCATCACAAAGCCGCAATGGCCCAAGGTTGAACGATCCGCGCGGTGTCAGAAGCCAAGGCCGACCTCGTCACCTGACAAACCTGCCGCATGCGATCCCCGCCTGTCGCCCGCCTTCATAGCCTCCGCCTGCAGCGGACGTTTTGTTCGAGTGGCTCAGCGGGCAGCGGCGGTGCCTCCGTCCTGGATACCAGGCTCCAGCTGCCTGCTGCCTTAAGGCAGGATGACGGGGGAAGAGGGAGGAGGAGGGATGAGGAGGAGGAGGAGGAAGAGGAGGAGGAGGAGGGGGAGGTGGAAGGGGAGGATCTGGTGGAGGAGAGCGGAGGAAAACAAGGCACGACGATGAGAATCAGATTTCGGGCTGGAGTTAGGAGGCTTTTTGCAGGTCTCTGAGGCTGTGCTGGGGTCATTCAGGGAGGTTCAACGCACTCCCTGGGATGAGAGGCCCGATCTGCCTGGCTCCGCTTCGAGGTCAAGGTGGGTGTGTAACGTGGAAAGCGTGGGGAACCGCTTGTGCCATGACTGCTGTTCCGTTGCCAACCAGTATCCAGGTCAACGTGGGTAGCTTCAAGTGGCTTCGGGTATTCGTGAATGGCCACGTAACTATGGCTAACGTACTGACCCACGGATTACTCAGTGATTGTTGACCCACTAATGGTGCGCATCTCATCTTTTCCTCGCACTGTCCCGGCTGCGGATCTCATTAGCGCGTAGTCAGGGGTCGTGAGCGTACCGTCGGCCAGGTCCAACGATTCTGCATGTCAGGGTCTTGCGTGGCGGGTGTTCGACATGATGGGGGGTGCCCAGAGATGTTGAAAGGGGCGACGTAGACGGTGGGAGGGCTTTGCGGGGCGTCCACCCATCCCAGGGAAATGCTATTGGGGAGCCCACCCGTCTCAAAGGCATCCGCCACCGTCGACTGTGTTGTGCCGTTGCATAGCTTTCGTATTGGACCACATTACGTGTCTAGCAATTTGGGCCCTCCCCCCATCGCATCGAGCCAACTCTGCATCGATGTTTTGTGCCCCATGCCACGTGGTAATCGGCCGTCCTCAGGAACGTGACAGCGTGAAGTGGTGCGATGCGTGCCCCCGCCGCCCCCCCCCTCGGCCCTCTTGATTGTCCCCCGTCCCCGCCATTAGCTCCTCAGCGCGGTGGCGGATACACGCGGCAGCTCAGCTGGGCACATAAGATCACGCAAATTTCGGGGAACATATCCGAGGTCCTCAGAATCATGTTTTTCCTGGAACCTTGCTGTATGCCTAAATTGACTCGTGTATGTGTCAACGGGCTAGTGCAACTTCAGCATTCCCACTCGGGGTGTTGCACCACTCAGGATACCCGGCCTTGACCCTATTACTTAATGTACAATTTGTCCAACAATTGGTGTTTCATGGTACTCGTTAATCGGTTGGTCTACGGTTGTTCTAGGCATTATTGTTGCTTGCGTGCCACATCTCATTCTGGTGAGAGAGTACATATCGTAGTGTTGTAGCGTTATGTTGCTACTCAGCGGGACCTTTGCGCGCGAGGTTTGTGTCATGGCCGAGCCAGTTGCCAAGAAGGCGAAGGTTGCCGAGGCGCAGGACGCTGCCGTCGCACGAGTTCGAGATTTCGTCAGTGTTGTACGGTCGCGCTGCCGTTCCCCAAGCTTTTCAGTTGGACTGCTCGATTGGTTTCACGCCCCCCTTCGCTGGTCTCTGGAGGCTTGTGGAGTCTCAGATGGTAGCCAGAACGCCAGAACGGACGTATCCTCAGTCGAGTAGCCCCGGGGCTCTCATCACTACAGTCAAGACGCTGAAATAAGGAACAGTTTGGGTTCGGAAGGGGCTCGATTTTCCAAGGGTTCCTCCAGTGCTGTTCCTCTTGCCCTCCTGGGGCACGGAGGCGCTTACAGGGCCAAGAAGGGGCTTTGTTCCTTATTCAGCGTTCCTTCTTTCAGCGGCCACACTGTACGACCCAGCCTCCAGAGCCTCGAGGGTCGTCGCCAGGAAGTCGCGGCAGGCGGCCGCATGCCTCCCTGGACCCCGCCAGATCGGTACCTTCGCTCACCCCGAGGAGGAGGAGGAGGAGGAGGAGGAGGAGGAGGAGGAGGAGGAGGAGGAGAACGAGGAGGAGGAGGAGGAGAAGGAGAGGAAGGAGGAGGAGGAGGAGAGGAGGAGGAGGAGGGAGGAGGAGGGAGGAGGAGGAGGAGGAGGGCAGAGGAGCAGGAGGAGGAGGAGCAGGAGGAGGAGGAGGAGGAGGAGGAGGAGGAGGAGGGAGGAGGAGGAGGGAGGAGGAGGAGGAGGAGGGGGAGCCCCTTCGCCTGCTCCCGATGTTCCCCGGCGGTTGGGGGTTGCTGCGCCGCGCCTGCCCTCTTCTGGGCCTCCTCTGGAGGCCTCGGGGGGCCTCGCGAGGCACCGCCGAGGGCAGCCGAGGGCGCCAGGGCTTCGGGGATTCCATTCTGGACGCCCGAAATGGGTACGGAAAAATGGGTACGATGTCCAAGAGCAGTTCTTGCTCATTTTGAACAGGACTCGCTGTCGGTGTCGCCGCGGCCTGTGTACATTTGAGAGAAGGTTGCCTGCCCTCCAGCGGCCGCTGCTGGTTTGGGACAACATTTGTTGTTGGTCATTGTGCCCATTTTTTCCGTACCCATTTCGGGCGTCCAAATTCTTGGGCCCCCCCTAGTCCCGCCGTGGACGTGAGGGCCAGGGACCCCCAGGGGCCCCCAGGGCCAGCCCACGGCGGAGGGTCCTTGCCCGGGACCTCCGTCGAGCGAGTCCTCCCAGGGCCTCTGCAGGCAGCTCGGGGACCTCCGGAGACCTCCGTGGACCTTCATCTTCCTCCTTGTTCGGCACGCAGGCATCGTCCTCAGTGGCGAAGCTGGCTCACCTCAGGAACGAGTGTGGGGGCTGCGACATCGTGCTGGCGCCATAGAGCGGGGAGCAAACGGCAGCAGCTCCAAGGCAGTCGCAGGGCCCTCCTCGTCTTCCCCCACCTCATGCTCTCCCTACTGGAGGGAGGAAAACGGAGAGGGGCTCCGGAAGAAGCCAGGTGCGGTCGCGCCATATTTTGCATCCTCCACCTCCCACCCATCCTCCCCCATTGCCTTGATGTTCTCTCTATCCGCGGACGCGTGTCATGGCGGACCTGGAACTCACCAACACACCCCATCGTGATATGCGCAATCTGAAAAAGAGGAGCTGCGCACATAGGAGAGAGCGCGTTTCACGGGCGCTTGCCTTGGGAACATTCGGAGGCGCGTTTCGAACCGGGGGGTGGGCTGGGGGGTGGGCCCCCCCCCCAACACTCGGCGCCGTCGATCAGAACCAGGGGGACTCCCCTCCCCCCTAACCCCTTCCCCTCCCGAAGCCCCCAGCCGTCGCCGGCGTCGGCGCCGGCGCTGGCGGCCGCCAACAGCGCCGACGGCGGGGACGCAGCGACGATGACCAGAGGCAGCCCAGGGGGGGGTCCAAACCCCCCACCCCACCGCGCCGGCGCCGGCGCTGGCGGTTGCCAGCAGCGCCGAAGGCGGGAACGCAGCGACGATTACCACCACTACCACAACCACTACCACCACCACCACAAAAACTCCCCACCACCACCACCACCACCACCTACCCACCACACAACCACCACAACAACTCACCACCACCACCACCACAATCTACCACACCACCACCACTCCCACAACCACCACCACTACCAGCAGCACAATACACCACAAACCACCACATCACCACCACCACCAGCACCACCTCCACAAACCACCGCCACCACCACAACCCACCACCACCACGACAAACCACCACCACGCCACCATCAAACCACCACCAGCACCACCACAACCAACCACCACCAGCACCACAACCCACCACCACACCACCACAAATCCACCACAACCACCACCACCACCCAACACCACAACCACCACCACCACAACAAACCACCACACCACCACCACCATCACCACCACCGCCACCACCACCACTACAACCCACCACCAACACCACACACCACTATACCACCACCACCACCACCAACCACCACAACCACCACCACCGCAACAAACCACCACCACCACCACCACAACCACCACCACCACCACGAGCCACCACCACCACAACCAGCACGCAAACCACCACACCACCAACGCCACCGCCACCACCACCTAAACCCACCACCGCCAAAACTACCACCACCACCACCGCCAGAAACCACCGCACCACCACCACCGCCGCCACCATCACCAACGCTACCACAACCTGCCACCACAACCACCACAACAACCACCACCACCACCACCAACCACACCACCACCACCACCGCCACCACCACCACAACCAGCACCACCTCCACAAACCACTGCCGCCACAACCCACCACCACCACTAGAAACCACCACCACCAAACCATCACCACCACCGCAATCTACCACTTCCACAAACCACCACCGCACCTCCACCACAACCACCACCACCACCACCCACCACCACAACCACCACCACCACTACAAACCACCGCACCACCACCACCACAACCACTTCCACGGCCACCGCCACCACCACAACCCACCACCACCACCACCAACACCACCACAAACCACCACGCCACCACCAACCACCACCACAATCACCACCACCGCAATAAATCACCACCACCACTTCCACCACAACCGCCACAACCGCAACCACCACCACCACCACCACCACCACAACCCACCACCACAACCACTACCACCACCACAACCACCACGACACACCACCACACCACCTTCGCCACCACCACCAGCACCTTAACCCATCACCGCCACCACCACCACCAGGAACCACCGCACCACCGGCACCATCACCAACACCACCACCACAACCTGCCACCACAACCACCACCACCACGACCACCACCACCACCACCCACACCACCACCACCACAACCACCACCACCACATCTCACCACCACCACCACCTCAGAGGGGCCCCAGGAGACGCCCAAGAAGCGCCCAGGAGGCTACGCAAATGCCCTTCAAAGGCCCCAGAGAGCCTTCCGACGAGACCCCAAGAGGCATCCATTAGGACCCTGACCCGAAAACAAGGCACGGTGGCGGAGCGGCGTCGTCGTCATCGTCGTCGACGTCGTCCTCGTCGACGCTCCCCGCCGCCGCCACCCGCCGCCGCAGGCGTTGGCGCCGGCCCAGAAACGAAGTCGTTGTCCCCGCCGCCGCCGCCAGCCGCCGCCGACGCAGGCGCTGGCCCGAGGAAAAGGAGAGAGGATAAGTAGGGGAGGAGAGGGAAGGGAGGGGGAGGGGTCTGATCCCCCTCTCCAAACGACCACAGAACGCGCTCTTTCGGACATAGGAGCAGGAGGACGAAGAGGAGAAGGCGGAGGAGGAGGAGGCGCAGGAGGAGGTTGCGGGTGAGCAGGAAGACGAGCAGGAGGTAGGCGGATGATGTGGATGGAGGGGGGCGAGACCGAACAGCTGCAGTTGGAGTTGGAACGGAAGGAACGGGAAACTGGAGGGACCAGGGGAAGGCGGAGGGGAAAAGACCGTGGCGACAACGAGGAGGAAACACTCGGATCCGAAAAACGTGGCCCGCGCTAGGGCGAGAGCGCAAGTCTGGACGACGGGAACGCGGCGCCGATCGTTCCGTGAGGCTCACGTTGGAGCGGCAACACCACTCCGAAACACCGAAGACGTTCGCGGAGGGGGCAGGCGACTGCCCAGCCATCGTCGGGAGAGGGGGAAGTGTATTTGTACCGGGTAGTTGTGGAGCGCGGAGAGGAGCAGAGAGGGGCGGGGGCATGAGCCGGAAATACAGAGGGAGGACAGGAGGAGGAGGGAGGAGGGTGAAGATGGGGCAAGAGTAAGCCCGGGATGCATCAATTCATCGAGCGCGTTCGTTCCACTATTTGCAAAGAGTCTAGTCGCAAACGTCAGAAAAAATGCGTGTTTTGATGTAGTGTATCTTAGATTCCCCGCGGGGGATCCATGCCATTTGCGAGTAGTTACTTTGCGAGTAGTGGAGCGCGCTCATTTATCAACGATGCTGTAATGCGCCCTCCCGTCCAGAGTCACCTCCTCGCAAGTCCTTCCTGTGGGCGCAGCCTTGGTCACGATGGGTCGTGCTCAATTGGAAGGCGAGCGCCCCATGGGCCTGCAATTTTCAGGTGCGCACTTTGCGCGTATGAAAAAGAGGATGTCAGTGGCGAAACGTCCTGGCTTGTAGCCTTGCCAAAGAATGTTCTAATAACCTGTTTGTGATTTTCCACGAAATGTTCTTCGAATACTTATGGCGGAGTTTGTCTTGTTTTATCACATCGGGTTTTTGTTATTAGAACCATGCTTCGGTTCCTTAGAACATGTTTCGGGGTTCTAAGAACATTTCGTGGTAGGACCACAGGAAAGCCGGGACGGGCGGTCCCTGCTCAAGATGTGCCCTTCATATTGTTTACTGGTTGGAAAAAAAAAACAGGAGACAATGTCATGCAATTCGAGGGTGGGTTTTCCATGCGTGCGAGTGTTGCAAATTCCTCCTCCCGCATATTCCTGTTCCCCCTCCCCCTCCTGCTCCTCCTTCACCTCTCCCTCCTTCTCCCTCCCTCCCCTCCTCCTCCTCCTCCTCCTCCTCCTCCTCATCCCCATCTCTCTTCTCCTCCTTCTCCTCTTCCTCCCTCTTCCTCCTCCATTCGAGCGCTGCTTCAGTTTCGCAAATGCGCCCGCCGTCCGCGCGAGTGCTGCAAATTGCCCATATACGGGTGCTCGAGACACCACAGCGGCAAGTTCATATTGGACAGGGGGCGCCATCGATCCCGACAAGTCCAGGACGAGTGTGCGAGCAACGAACTACATTTTGATCAAGGTCCGCACCACGAACAAGTGATAACCACATGTTTTAAGCCTCCCGCCTTTCATCAGTTCAGCAAGTCAAGTTCAAGTTGCTTGGTCGTTTTGTTGCCAGGAAGTATCAGGCAAACCGCTGAGCACGCCATACAGATTCGCAGGGTGGTGCGACGAGAAGTAACAGTGTAAAAGGACTGGGGATGCAGGGCAGGGGGAGAGTGAGGGAGGAGGAGGACGGATAAGGGGGAGGGACAAGCTCGTGGATTTCCCGTAACATCTGACATCCTATTTCGCCCACCCATGATTTCTCGTTGTGTTGATCCTATTCCTATCCGCAGACCCTGTTTCCCAAGAGAGCACTGTTCTCTAAATCGCACTTGCAGGATTTGACGTCGCGTGCCCTGTAATCGGAAAAGGGGGTATCTAGTACACTGGACGAGGCGGGTGACCTCGAAGAGGACGAAGGAGAAGGAGGAGCAGGAGGAGCAGGAAGACCCGGGGCAGGCGGAGGATGCGAACGCAGGGGGACGGCAACGTTAGGAAGGAATCGGATCCAGCAGTGTCGCCCGCGCTGGGGCCAACATGCGGCTGACATGCGGCCGACGCTGCAGAGGGAACACCATCTCTGACGGACCAAAGACTTTCTGACTGAAACTCAATGTCAATCATCAGATAGTGTAATCCTGTGTGTGGGAGATACGCGGGAGGAGCACCGCTGGACACTCGGTGGAGAGAGGCGGGTAAGTTTACACATTGGGTAATCGTGGAAGCTCCAAGGGAGACGTGGGAGGGACGAGCGAGTATCGGATCGAGGACCGAGTGTGAGTTGGGCGGACCGACAGTTGAGACTGATTTGTTCGATCCTCTTGTGCGTAACGGTCGTTCCCCGGGCCAGAACCCCCACCCCCTTCTCCTCCTCCTTCTCCTCCTCCTCCTCCACTTCCTTTTTCTCCTCCTCCTCCTCCTCCTCCTCCTCCTCCTCCTCCTCCTTCTCTTCCCCTTGGTAACTGCGTTTGGGGGGCTCTGTTCACACACGCATTGCTGATGCTCACAGGCGCCCTGCTTGTGCTCGTGGATGTTGCGCAGGTGCCCCACCCCACAGATTCGGATGCAACTCCTGGGAGGTCAAATTCTGTTTTTGCCCTGGTCCGAAGTCCGGCTTAATCCCGCTTAATCCGGCTTAATCCCGCGTGATCCCGCTTAATTTGGCTTAATCCCGCTTAATCCGAGACCCGCTCCGGAGTAGCAGCTCCCAAATGGGGCTTAATCATGACATTTCCGATGAAAACCTCCAGTAGTTGCCTCCTAACCACATAAGCGTGACCATTACCCAGAGCCCCAGCCCACCCCCCTCTGGGTAACGACCGCTACGCGGGAACAAAAACAACAATCTCGTTGCATCGAGGAGCGACGATCGCGAATCGAGGAGGAGTCTTCCTGGAGAGGGGCCAGCAGGGTCAGTTTCGACCCGATATATCCGACTCGATGTCGATGTCGATCGGTCCGATCAGGTGCACACATGGGTTCTATGACGCCGATGTGGATCGTGCGTTGCGCTCCGATCTCCTCTCTTCAGGTCGCGGCCATCAAGTCGCGACGGCTCACGTCAGCCCACGTCTTGCACAACGCAAAGGTGCGGAGGAGGAGGAGGAGGAAGAGGAGGAGGCGGAGGATGGGTAGAAGACGCTGCAACGATGACCATCCTGGGCTCGGGGCGGGGGGCTCCAGTGTTTGGGGCGTCCTTGAAGCCCAGGTCGTCACACCTGCTCGCTGCCGAGGCTCGCTGTGGCCTCGCGAGGCTCCCCTTCGCTCCCTTCTCAGCGCTCCCTCTCGTGGCGCGCTGCATGGCGGGCAGGCCAACACAAACACACATTCTCTCTCTCTCTCACACACGGTGGAACAAAAACATTGCATGTGTGTGTGTGCGTGTTTGTTCGCCTTGTGTCGCGTGTTTGTCCACAGTGTGTGTGTGTGTGTGTGTGTGTGTGTTTGTGTGTGTTTGTTGTGTGTATGTTTTTGTTCGCTTACTTGTGCGTGTTCTTGTGTTTGTGTGTGTGTGTGTCTCTGTTTGCGCGCGTGTGTGTGTGTGTGTGTTTGCGTTTGCGTGTTCCCTTTGGCACCAAGGTCGGGTGGTTCGTCGCAAGGGGGGGGGGGGGGGCACGATTCATTCGGGGGGGGGAGGGCCGCACGAGAGGGACTTCGAAAGTGCACGAAAGGTGCATCTTGCTTCCCCCTCCTTCTCCTCCTCGTCCTCCCCCTCCTCCTCCTGCTCCTGCTCCTCCTTCTCCTGCTCTTCCTCCTCCTCCTGCTCTTCCTCCTTCTCCTCCTCCCCCTCCTCCTCCTCCCATCCTCCTCCTCCTCCTCCTATCCTCCTCCTATCCTCCTCCTCCTCCCTTTTTTCAACAGCGCCCCGAAGCACCCCCCCAACAAAAACACGCCAGACCAAAGACCGGTTACGTTGGGCGGGTTCGGTTTGATTGGTTGTGGCGTCTTTTCGTCTTTCCAAGCTCTTGCCTGTCTTTCGAAGTTGTTTAGTTTCGGTGTCACGAGGTTCGGTATGTTTTCGTTTCTGTTGTCGACGTGGACGCCTTTGGGCATATTCTGAGCCTCCAGGACGACAACGTCGAGGTCGTTTCGGATGTTGTCAGGCGGAGGGTCCGTTCGTGTCCCCTCTCCCCCGTTCCCGCCGGTGCCCCTCCCCTTCTGTACCTGGCCTCGGCAAGGCAGGAAGATGCGGTACATTCTCCAAGATAGCCACCAAGATGGCACGCGATGGTCCAGAGTGGTATCCATTAAGCCTTCAAGAGGCCTTCAGACCGCCGCAAGACGGCCCGAGATGATGACGGAGCCTCCTGTGGATGGCTCCAGGAGGCCAAAACATTTTCAACACATAAGCTCAAGATCGCCCATGGCTCCAAGATCGCCCATGAGACGCCCTAGCCCGTCATGACACACGACGGCCGTGGGTGTCGCCCGTAGCCAGTTTGGCTCAAGCTAATCTGTTGGCTCAAGTCACGTTGGAGGCCAGAATGGAGCGTAGGTCATCTCGTCGTTCGCGTGGCGTGTGGGTGCCATGCTTGCTTCTAGGTGCACTGTTTGCTGCACCTAGTGTCTGGACCTCGGCAGTTAGCCCGGGGTTTGCATCGCTTGCGAAAAAGAAAATCAAGGTGGAAGTTATCTCTGATACCGTGTGACCGTGGTGCTTCGTGGGCAAGCGCCGCCTGGAGAAGGCGATGAGAAAATTCGCTGGCAAGGCTGAGTTTCAAGTGACGTGGCTCCCGTACCAATTGGCTCCGTACGCTCCTGGCGGGAAGGGTGTAAACAAGTTAGAGTTGTACAAGCAGAAGTTCGGCGATGCCCAGACTCAGCAGATGATGCCGAGAATGATGCTAGTCGGCATGCAGGACGGTATCCATTTCTCTTACGGCGGCAACACTGGTAACACGTTCGATTCCCACAGACTCATCGCACTCGCATCGAAGCAGGGCAAGCAAGACGAGCTTGTTGAGGAGTTGTTCCAAAACTATTTCGAACAGGAGAAGTGCATAAGCGATTGCGATGTGTTGCTCCAGGCGGCATTGAAGGTGGGGCTTATTGCAGCTGAGGAGTTATTGAATGGGGACGCGAACGTCGAAGAGGTACAGGCCGAAATTCAACAATGTGAAATGATCGCGACGCGAGGCGTGCCGCAGTTTGTTATCAATGGCAGGCCGATCGCACCTGGCGCGCAGGATGTAGCAGAGTTTGAACGAAGGTTTCTTGAGTTGTTGGCGTAGGTTCTTGATATGTTTCGACCTGTTGTTCTGCTAAGCGACACTTGGCGTTTCCGCATGATCTTTTGTTTGTTGACCGACTTTTACAACCCGCCAAGTGATGAGTGGCCCAACGGTGTGCGCGCAACTCGCCTTTGCTTGTATTATTGTTGGGTGTTCGGAAGGGGTTGGGTTTACTGAGTTAGCGCACGTGAACGCAGAAGAGAGCTTGCGAAACATGCAGCGATATAATGTCGCGAGTCGCCAGCAACAAAAAAAATGCAACAGCGGCCCTAGATGCCTCACTAGGATCCGGAAAACGACCCAAGACGGCCGCATGAGTATTGGGAGAAGGATTGCATGATTACCTGTGCGCTTTGCCAGGCTTATCGCAAGAAGGCCCTGGGAGGGCCCCCGAGGCTCCAAGAAGCCCCGACAGAGCCCCAAATGGGCCCACACATGGTAACCGAAACAGGGCCCCAAAAACACCCCAACAGCTTGCCACAGAGTGCCAAGAAGGCCCCCCTTCCGAGTCTCAAAGCCGAAACTCTGGCCAACATGTATATTCACATGAGGGACGCAGAAGAAAGGGGTCGTCTTCGCAGACAGTGGCGCGGAAGTTGCCCGCGTAAGGTCGCGCATAAGCGCCCTCGTTTCTAATGTGTCGTGCCGCGCCGGCGGGCCGCGTAAGCCGCTGCGTAAGGTTGCGATGCCATCTCGCGTAAGACCCCTTGCTCTTCGCCTCTCATGTGTGCCTCGTCCATCTCCCTCTGCGGTTAGCCAGGGGCGGCTGCCGTGTCAGGCCGCAAGCCGCCTCAATTTCACAGGTGGGGGGGAAGCGTTGCGACGCGGGCACCGCGCCCAGTTCGGCACACTCCTCACACGCTTCGGGTCTCCATATCTGCCCCATTGAGTGTCCATGGTGGCAACGGTCGTGAGCTCTCCCCTGAAGGGGATGAATCCTTCATTGGAAGGCATGAGGAGGGCTTGGAAGAACTTGAGCTCCTTGGCATCGCTCGGGCGTGTGCAGTTTTTCTTAGCGAAGACCATCGAGGAACATCCTGGATGATCGTGCGAAAGAAGATCGCACGAATCCGAACAATGCACGGGGGATGCTTGTCCGAGCAATGGCAGGAAGAGAGCTTGGGAGAGCTAGAGCCTCAACCACCCAGAGGGCTGGTTGTACTTCTTTTCTTCCCCTGACATCACGCCCTCGTGTCCCACGCTCGTATCGTTCTGGTACTCGGGCTGACATGTTGTTGGTCACGTCTGTGGAGGACTTCATCAAGGGGTGGCCGTCCCCGGACCTGCTGACGCAGCCGGAGCTCAAGGATGCGCTGACCAGCAGCTTTAAGCCGCTCCCTCAGCGTCCAGGGGTTGGCACGGGCCTGGCACGGGTGCCATGGCAGCCTTTGCCAAACCAGGAAGGCAGAGGGCACTCCGAACGTTAATTCGTCGCCGCAAGCCTGGTAGAGTCAAAACCAGAGTTCACGACGTGCCCTTTTTGTAGGGGCACCTTGCAACCCCTTTGTTCCGGCTATTTGTTGTACGCTTTCGTCTTTGCGGGTCGAAGGGTACCCTGGCGGGGGCGCGCACATCCTTTGTTTTCGCGATTGTATCCTTGGGTTTTTTGATGGTTGGCTCGCTTGGTCCATTTCTGCACGTTCTGAGGGCCTCGCACCCTTGAACTCGATCCTTATCGCTGATGTTGACTGCTGTCGGCCCATTGGCCATCCAACTAGAACCCCAAAGGAGGGGCGCCCCTTGGAGTTAGAGCACTCTTGGCCAAGCCCAGCCATCCTCCGCGCTCCCCCGGCCCTGCAGAACGGACTGGCTCAGGGCATTGGGCGGTAGGGTCGGCAGTTGCATGTGTACCTTACCCTTGCAGGTCCGAGTTCTGAAACCGGCTTGGGTTATGGATTGGAAGGGTATTTGCAGCCAAGTGAGCCCACGCATGGACATCCGCGTCGACTGGGTCCGCAGGGGTAGGGTTCGCAAGGGGCCCCATCGAAGGATTGCCCTTTGAACCGGGCTCATTCCAGGCCGCGAAAATTGAGCTTGAGTATCGGGGGGCTCGATGTAGGTACCACGTCGGGTGGTCGGCCAGGGAGCCAAGGATTCACCGAGTACCTTGGCCTTCCAAGCGCAGAGACGTGTACGTCGATCCCTGCCGACAGCAGATGGGGTCGAAGCATCGGCAATGCATCGGCGAAGCTGCGAGACTTTGTTCACGACGTCCTACATGTCGGCTCCGCCGACGCATCGTCGATGCCGATGCGTCGCCCCATGCGGTGCGGTCTTCCGACCCCATCTGCTCCAGCCCCGTTTCGGCGGCCTCCAGTTATCAGGGATGGGCTGGAGGAGCAGGAGGAGGTGAAGGACCTTGGAAGCGTCTGCTGCCCGTCCGAGACAGAAGTCTTCTCCCTCATGCTTCCCTCTCCTTGACGAGCCAGGGGGCGCTGATGCAGCGACGACGTCATCTGAAGGAGGGTCGATGCACGAACTGTCTCCTTGATGCATATCTCCCCGCACGCGCGCGCTCCAAGCTGCTCGGAAACGACACGAGGATGTGCCTGCAGGGCGTATGGGAGGGCACCTCCGTGCCACGAGGCAGAGTTTTTTTTTCCAGCAGGCCCCGTCCAAGGAGTCGACAGGGCTGGCCCCCTTGTCTCTGCGTCTGTCCCTCCTCGCGGCCACGTCTCTGGACCTACAAGCTTCCTTTCTACGTTATAACTTGAAGCGTAGATCTGAAGCTCGTGTTGGGTTCAGTTGGGGGCTCTGGCCGTCGGGCCGTTCCTGAGATCCAGTTGGGCAATCTGTCTTGTGGCCAAGGCTCGCAGATGTCAGAAGAGCCCGCGCGCTCCTTTGTCACCAGCCACCTACGGCAGCACGGTGACTGTAGCGTGGCGGGTGGCGGGGTGAAGGCGATGGCGCTGTTGGCGTGGACCCCAGCGAGGCCCGTTCTGGAGGCGCCCGTGTGGGCGCATCGCAGCATGCGCTTGCAGATGCCCAGGTGGGGCAGGAGCACGCGTCTAAATGAAAGTATGTCTTGCTCTGTTGGGGCCTCCCGGAGGCGTGTCGTCGTCATGGCTGGATTCCTCTCGGAATTCTGGTTGGCAATGACACCGAGAAGAGAGGGCAGCCCCGAGGGAGATTGTCACGGGGTATTTCGCCGCGCATGAGGCCTCATTGGGCCCCAGGACCGTCAGACATATTCGAGAACGAAGAGAGCCTTTCCCGGAGGGGAACCACGGCCCAGGTCCCGTTTCTCTCATGCCAAATGTGGAGTTGGTTCGGTTCAAACAGCAGTCGATGTTCACATATTAGGTGGGCTTCAGCTGCGACTGGCTTGCTTCTTCCTGGCTGACAGGTCTGAACCGCGGTTTCGTTCGCAGTTCCGCCTGCACTGCGCACGACAGTTTTGTTCGCAGCCTTCAACAGCAGCCAGTCGTTTGGTAGGGCTGCGGCCCTGTCAGGGCAGACTTTTTGGGGACTTGCTGAATCACCGTGGTGGAAAGTGCGGGGTGGTCCTTCGAGACGATTTCTGTTGCTTTGCCAAGTCCTGGCAAGTGTTTTCGCCAGGCAAGGTGTAACCCGTTGGCTTGTACGTGATGTTCCTAGAGCAGTCCTGGCTGAGGCAGCCTTGCGCTGATCCATGGCACGTCATGAGAATGGTGTTTTGTTAGGAGAGCACTATGTTGCTCTGATGCCATGTCTTGGTAGGCTTAAGGCGGGCCTGTCCCTCTACAGGAGGAATATTCATATTCAACAACAGTCAAACAATAGTCTGGGGACGATTTTTTGACTATTGTTGAGCATGTGGAGAGTATTTTCTGAGCATTTTAATGTTGTTCCAAAATCCCCCTGTAGGGGGACAGGCCCGACTTAACACTATGTTGCTCTGAGGACATGTCTTGGTAGGCCTGTCAGAAGGCCGGGACGGTCGGCCTATGGCCAGGCAGGCTACGTATAGGCGCGACGCGCGCTCGGATTGCTCGGATTTGGCCCCATACAGTCAAACCGCATGGTGAGGATGAGCGATGTTCCCAGGTTGCCCTTGCATCCTTCATCTTCGGCCCCTCCTTTGCCGCTTTCACTTGTCGAACCCAGCTCGCAAAGCGTCGACATGGCCCTCCAAGACCTTCGCATCCTTACCGTGCGTTCTTGTTCTACTGCTTGAGTGCATGGATCGTGTACATGCGAGGCGGTGTTGCTCCTATCTCAGGCATGCAGTGGCGTTTGCAGGCGAGCAATCGTGGTGCGCACCGTCCTCGTCGTCGTCGTCCACGGTTGTCTACGGCTACCTTGCACAGCATCCTCCATGGGGCATCCGCAGTTCGTTGTGGTCGTCATGGTTTGTCGTCATCGCAATCGCCGTCGTCGTGCTCGCAGGCACATTGCACATTGCGGCGCGCATGAGGAAGACTTTTAAGTATTCCCCCTTACGATTTCACATAGACTTCGTAATCGGGTTCGCATACGCATGCTGCGATGATTCCCCTCGCCTTCGCAGGCTACTGCGGTGCTCGCGGGCTTCTTGTGGAGGAGGAGGTTGAGGAGGTGGTCCAGGTGGAAGAACTGGAAAAGTAGAAGGATGAACCGTTGCCGCCTGCCTCTGCCACTCCTCCCTCTTCCCTGTCCTGCCTGTTGCCATGTTTGCCCCTTCCCCCCAGCTGCAGAGGAGCCCGTGGCGTCGCGCTGTCTGCCGCCCTCTGGCGGCCGGGTACCTCTTCTAACAGCAGCTGCCACCCCGTTGCGCACTCGCGCCTGGCGCGCTTCGCTGATCAACAGCGGGCACTCGGTTGATGGACCTGTTTTTCACAACCACCACCGTAAGCTGGTCCTCCTCCTCCTCCTCCTCCTCCTCCTCCTCCTCCTCCTCCTCCTCCTCCTCCTCCTCCTCCTCCTCCTCCTCCTCCTCCTCCTCCTCCTCCTCCCCCCCCCAACTTATGGTGGTGGTGGTGGGAAACAGGGCCGTCATCGGTGGTCGACCCTCGGCCCCTGGCTGCACGCAGCCGTCCGGGTGTCGCGTGGGCGACTGCGGAGATTCGCCGGGGGCAGGTGGGAGCGGCAGGACCTCGCCTCCTTGGACGGGGCGGCGATTCCAGCCCCGACGCTCCTGGTCGAACGCCTCAAGGGGCCCAGAATCACCCGCGCGATCTGCGCTGTGGGAAGCAAATCGCGGTTGTGCACTTTCGGACGATCCACGCGGTGTCAGAGACCAACGTCGACGTCGTCGCGACATGGTTCGGCCACAACGAGACTGGCAAGTTTACGTGCATGGAGGGGGGCTGGCGTGGTGAGGCCCGAAAGGACAGCCGGATCTCACGCGAGTCAGGATTCACCTGCGCGCCTTTCCTGCCTGGCGCTGTCTGAATGGTCGGCGGACTGGTGGGGTGTGGGGGGACTGCCATGCAAGTATGCTTGCCAGAATCTTGAATGTAAATGAAAAGCATGCTGCAAGGGTTTCACGGGCGATCGCGCAGCCAGTTTTCCAAGTCCTGTCGGCCGCTTCTGGCGCGCGGGCATGTCAGCGATGCGGGACGGCGGAGAGGACTCCACTTTCATTATCTTGGCCTCGGCGGCCTCCGTACTCTCGGCGGCTGGGCCGCAGGTCCTGCATGATCCTGTAGCCTGCAGATTTGGATGTTCTTCGAGTCGGGCGTGGGAGCCAGGTTCAAGCAGTGGCGAAGCGTCCCGGCTCACATGTAGTCCCACCAAACAATGTTGTAAGAACCTACTGTGGTCCGCACGAAATGTTCTTAGAGCATTTCTGGCTGAGATTGTGTTGTTTTAACACATCGGGTTTATGTTCTAAGAACATTCTTTTTATCTGAAAACATTTTCGGGTTCTAAGAACATTCCGTGGTAGGGCTCTAGGAATGCCGGGACGGTCGGCCCTTGCTCAAAAGGTGCGGTCCTGGAAATGATTTCACATATTGGTTGAGCCGGCTTTTGGAAGCTTTCGAAGCAATTGCAGCACAGGTTTGTTTCTAATTTGATGAGCAAGGTTTGCGTTCAGCTCGTTTTGTCCAAGCTCGAATGAAACCACAGGCCGCTCCGCTGCACCTCCAAGAAGCGTCTCGGGATGAAAAGGTCGTATCGGCAAAAATCCTTTGGGTCGAGGGCCCGTTTCCTTGGTCACCCGTGGGAACGAGAAAATGATCACGTTTCGCGCGTCGCGGCCTGGGATGCAAAAAGGCGATTCGCCGGGCGGCGGGGCGGGGCCGCGAGGGCGCGAAGACAACCGCGCACCGTGGGGCCTGGGACCGCTGTTCCCTCGCTGCGGCATGCCGAGCTCCTTCACCGTGGCGGCGCGATGGCGCGCGCGCGCACCGTTCGCTCACCGTGCTCCTGGCCCCCGGCGTTTCTGGCTTGCCGGAGGCTTCGGGAAAAATTCGGGGAGCCTTGGCATGCTAAAACGACACGAAGATCGGGACAAAATCGGATCGGGATAACTCGAAATCTCTGAGAATCGGCGGGTTTGGAGGATGTATTGGGCGCCGCGGCCGCTCCAGAGCGTTCCGGAACGCTCTGAGAGCGCTCCAGAACGCTCTGGAGCGATTTATCCCGATCCTAGCACTGTTTTACATGCCCCAGGGCGCGATACGGGCGAGCGGTGGTGCTGCCCACCGCCAACGACCGATTCGATGCGACTCGGTTCGCCAGCGGGGGCCGCGAGTCCGACTCGATTCGGCTTGGCTCGAATCACCGGCATCGGCCAGGGCCAGCCGGAGCCAAGCGTGGTGGTCCGATTCGTTTCGGGACCGTGCGTTGGCAATCCCATCAGTCTCCGATCCGTTCCGAGTTCCAGGAGTGAGAAAAGAAAACAGACGCAATTAATCGTCGATCCCCCAGAGAATATGGGAAAAGATGGGAATTGTGGGGGAGACAAAAACCCAGAAGATATGGGAAATTATAGGGAATCCTTTCATTGGTGTCTATTTATTTGTGTGTCCAATGGCCCCTTCCAGTTTGGCGATTCGACCCAGCTCAGTCCTTCCGGGGTCGAGGAGAGGGAGCGGCCGAGGTCCTTCATCGGCAACACCCAGATGTTCCTCAACTACGGTGATGCCCAGGCGCCAGTTTTCCAGATTCTCTCGCAACGCTCGGCATGGCATGGATCAGGAGGGGAAAAAACACAGACACAACTCATCGTCGATCCCCAGCAAAATATAGGAAACTATGGAAAGTGGTGGGGAAGACAAAAACCAAGGAAATATAGGAAAATATGGGAGATCATGTTATTTGTATAGTTATTCGTGTGCCCCAGGGACAACCATCAGCCCCAGCCGCCGACAACCGTCGGGACAACCATCGGGAATCGGGACAACCATCGGGACAACCATCGGGACAATCGTCGGGACATCCGTCGGGACAATCGTCGGAACAACCATCGGGACAACCAAGGGGAGTACCCACATCCACTGGCTGGGCCAGACGCGGTCCAACTGATTTCTGCCTGACTTGGCATAACCTCGCCCCCCCTTCTCGCCTGCACGCTCGTGACGAACGACACGGTCCGAAACCGAAATTGGTTTGCTTGTTGGGCGACCTCGCTTCTCTTCGATATCACCCCCCAACTTCCGATCCCAGTTCCGTCTTTTCGACTCCGGCTCACGATCCTGATCATTTATGTTGGCGGAATGGTTGAAGGTATTCGGCAGGTTCCGACTCCGGCTCTTTTTTTCCGACTCTTGATCCCTTCCCATCTCCCTGACTTTGGCTCCGACTCCGATTCCGATTCCGCATGGGACACACGCTTTCGTCCAGCAAGTGCAATCTGCGGGCCCCGGCCCACCCGCGCTGCCCCCAAGGGGCCTGCTGGCCGACCGGCTGGCGGACTCGGCGCGTTCCTCCTTCCTCCTCCCTCCTCCCAAACTTCCGATCCACATCAGGCTTGACATAGCAGGAACACGGCCCGAAATTACAGTTACACGGTCCGAGGATTGCCCGGCAGGCGCCAACAGCCAAGAGGACTTCGAAACGGGGCACCCTAAGGAGCCAACACGAGCCGGGACATCCCCGTGTCGGGCCTGAGCTTCGTCCGAGCATCATCCAGCTTGGGCCGAGATGCGAGTCAGCGTGGGTCTTGTTTGGGGGATTTCATGGGGCCCATAGTCGTCCAGAATTGCTCCTCACTGGGTAGTCGAAGGCCAGACTGTCAGATTGGATTGGGCCCCAAGGGCCAATCTGGCCCGGCCAAGCTGGACGATTTGGGTTATTCGCCAGACTGGATTCGCACTGGCTCCCTCGCCAGATTGCCCCCGTTTGCCAGATTGGGCCTGCCAGATTGGCGCCAGATTGGCTTCGACTACCCAGAGAATTGCTCCTCAGGTGCGCCCACACCACGGCGTCGAAACGTGCATGGTATAGGATGCCCCAGACGAGCCCGAAAGCCGGCTATAGGAGGCGTCCGAACGGCCTCCAGCTAGCAGCTTGGCTCAAATTGTTAAAGTCCTGAGTGTTTCGCCGTCTTCTTCATGGTTCCGGCTTGTTGTAGGCAAAGTTGGGCCCAAGAGGCGCCCGACGAGCTGATCTTGGAGACTGGGATGCGCCCTCCATGGAACAAAAACGGAGACGGAATCGGTCCCGAAAACGCAGTGGGAACGAAATGACATTCTTGGACGCCGTCTGGAAGCCGTGCCGGGCTCCGAAATGGACTGGTAAAGCACGGACGGCGGAACGGCGGATCTTAATTGCGGAGAAAATGGAGCTGCAGCCTTGAAGAGAGTTGTCGATTTTCAATCCCACACGCCCCTCAGCCCGATGGGCGGGCGGATCAGAGTCGCTTGTGCCAATCCGCCGACCATCGGAAAAAGAAGGTGAATGAGATTGCCATCGGAGGATGGGAACTATCGTGGAGGCCATATTGGGCACTTGGGCCCGAACACTGGGGCCTACTGGGGCCAGGCGCTCTTGGGCTATCTTAGGGTGTCTGTGAGCCATCTTGGCTCCACTTCAGTTGGGGCCTCTTGTAGCCATCTGGATGATCTTCTAATTGCCTGGGGGGGTCCCAGGGCAGTTTTGGGGCATGCTGGAGCTGTCTTTGGCCCCTGGTGTAGACCAGTTGAGGGCTGGTGTGGCAATATGGCAATATTCGGGCCGTCTTGCGTTTCTTGGGTGCCTTTTTAAGTCGCTCACAGTTCATCGTGGGGACTTCTTGAGCCGAAACGTGATGAGTACAACGAATGTGCGTAGTAGCCCCGAGATGGCGCAAGAGGTTCCAATTTGCCCCAGAGCGAGGGGGGAATGGGATTGAGGGAGCGAGCAGGGATGAAGTAGCAGCGAGGAGGTAGACCAGGAGGGAAGAGGAGGAGGGGAGACGGATCGAGGACAGAGGCGCGAAAGACAAGAAGGAGCGTGGGGTAGCACCGGCACCGCAATAGGCATCCACTGCGTCGTGACGCTGCCGTGTCAAACGCTAGCACAGAGCTTGAGCGCGCGCGCCGTGCGCGCGTGGTTCTAGAACCACTTGGTGCGAATAGTGTTCTCATCACTGAAAGGCCGCCGACACGGCCAGTCAAGTCGGAAGAGCATGGGCGTAACGCTCAGAGAGGCACGCTGACGTAGACGCGCTGACGCGCTGCCGCAGCCGGCGCGATCGGCGCTTTGAGCTGAGGGAGGCGTGCCTGAAGGCCCCTTGGGTCGGGGAGGCAGTCCCGACTGGCTCGCGCTCCAGCGCGTGGAGGAGGAGGAGGAGGAGGAGGAGGAGGAGGAGGAGGGGGCCGTAGCCATTTTGGCTCAAGGGGCCTGCTCCTTAACTGCTCAACCTCTCTCAAGGGGTTCAGCCCGTTTTTGCCTCTTCGGGAAGGGCCCCCTCAGTGCCCATCTCTCGCAGGCGGGCTTCATTGCCCTGCGCCGCTCCCGTTCCCAGTCTGTTTGATGACCCGCAGCGGCGGGAAGTACGCAGGCGATGAGATCGGGGCAGCCTGCCCTACATGTGGATGCAAGAAGAACCCGTCCCATTTTCGGTTCTGTTACCATTCTCGTGGGCCTTTACCTCGCCTGGGCAGTTCTGTGCCGTCTCCTCTTTCGGGGGTGTGGGCTCGCGAACCCTGGGTCCGTGTCGCAAGAGGCCCTGGGCCTGGCGCAAAGCAGAGTGGGGGCAAAGGTAATCGAGGGCGGTTTCAGGCTCATGGTGACTTTGGATCTCCACAAGGAGGAGGAGGAGGAGGATGGAAAGATTTCCAATCATCGTCTCGAGTTCTGGGCGCCCTTGAAGAGTTGCACCGTCTTCAGCAGCTTTGCTCAAGCAAGTTCAAGGATTGCCTTCCCCCTGAGTCAAGATCTGCCATGTCCTCCGCCTGGGAAGCCGCCTGACAGGCCAAGCAGAACGAGATGCCGCCGTCGCGGATGCTCCAGAAGGTCGAGCAGGAGCAGAGTCGCCGAGAGACGAGGATCGAGAAGCTCGAGAGAGACCTCAGCAATGTGGTCAAGCAGCTCCAAGTGCTTGCCGACAAGCGCTCTGCGTTGGAGCAGACCATCGTTGACGAGCGACGTGCGGTGGAGGAGGCCAAGTTGGCAGCGGCGGAGCTGCTTCGGCAACGGGCTGCTGAGCCATCCCAGCCAAGTCCAGGGAGTGTTCCCGGTTTGGAGATCCTTCGACGCCACCTGGAGGACTTCCAGAACACACTGGCGGGCGTGCAAGCGGCAGAGATCAGACAGTCGCTCGAGGCCAAGTGCGAGGGTATCCTGGGTTTTCTCCCCCCACGGGCTGCCCAGCCTGAACCCGCACAGCATGAAGATTCCATGGTGGTCGACGAGGCGCACTTCGCTGAAACCTGTGAGGCTGCAGGTGTGGCATCAGACCCTGTCAAGCGCCAGCTCTTGCAGGCGTTGTGGCGGGCCAGCAAGAAGCTTCGTTTTCGCTCGCCAGGACCGGGAGGAAAGATCAGTGCAGCTTTCAACGCCCTGAAGCTCGGTGGGAAAATGTCGGGGCTGACGATCTCTAGTTTTTCCACGGTCGTCAAGCACAGGGCCAACTGGGCACACGTTGGCATCTTTTACTTCATCTACCTCGTCGACTGGGGCACCTACGTGTGGGCCAGTTTATACGAGACGTCCGTGCGCAAGGGCAGGGAGAATATCACTGTCATTGTCTACGCCAGTGACCCCGTCGACTGGAACACCCTCGAGTGGTTCGGTTTCTCTGGGGGTTCCAGTGGCGCTCTCTACTGGGTCCTCCACGTGTGGATCAAGTTCAGCACCGAGAGTGGCATCATCCTCGCCGTCTGGGCCAACGTCGTGCGGTCCGAGTTCTGGGCGACGGGGCCCCTCTCATCTCCTCCCCGCTATTTGCTCAGCCCAGCATCGAACAACAAGCGTTAGGACGCGCAGGTGACAAGGTCAGTCACCTGCAACCTCAAGCTGCTCGCATTCAACGGGTCCAGCTGGGTTTCTGAATCCAGGGACTGCGAAGGTCTCGGGTCGCTGGAGAAGGCCCCAGGGTTCAACGATTTAGTCAGGGAGACGGATGCCGATATCTGCTTCCTGCAAGCGCACAGGTTGACTGGTGAGCTCTACCGTCGCACTCGTGCCAGGCTGCAAGGAGGTTGGAGGGTTTTCGGCTGCGAATGTACTACCGCTGAAGCGGGACATTCAGCATTGCGAGAAAGCACTTGGACTCCTGTCTTCCTCCGCAACCGACGGCGACTATCATCGAGGGAAGTGCTTCTCGTATCTTTTTTTGTCGCAGCGCAGGTTGCGGCTTGGTTGCTCTCTATTTTGTGCATCTGAAGGATTCGATCGGCATGGCAGGGGTGAACCTGCGAGTGATGAGCGCTGTTTGGAAAGATTGCGTTGCCCATGGGCTCCCGTTCGTGGTCGCAGGGGATTAAAATGCGCCTCCGTCAGCGCATGCGGCTGCTTCACCTTTGGCGCAGGTCAGCGCAGTGATTCGTGCGCCAGCTGTGCCCGCGCATGTTGCGTCTTGCTCGTCTTCCTTCCTCGATTATTTCATCATCAGCCGCATCTCGGATCACACCGCGGAGGGCGTCGCCGCGGACCTCAGCGCCCCGTTCAGCCCCCACAGGCCCGCGACATTCAAGATTCAGCAGGCCTGCCAGGACATCTTGGT